TATACTTCCTTAAATATATTTAAAAATTGTTCATATGCTTTGTCTAAGTCTTCCTCTCTGTACACTGCTTCCCAGTCCTGCCCCCTTAAGTCCTCCTTAAGCCTCCTTACAGTTTGTTCATTAATCACCCTCCTGTAGAACAGATTTGTTTTTGGCCTCTCTTTTCTAAAATGGCAGTCATAAACCAAAAATACAGGTAGACGATCACTGATATCATTTATAAGTAATCCCCCTGAACTTATGAACACTTGCTCGACCAAGTGAAATCCACAACATGCAGACTAACACAAAGGTCTGCAGTCACACTCGTTGAAACTGCATATCTCATCTGACTGACTCATAAAAACTGGATACAGAGACTAATAAAAACACAAAACAATGGTCATCTTTGGGGGTGGGGGCAGCACAAATGATAATCAAGTGAGACTGGTGAAAGAGCAGGCTCAGTTGCCAGACAAGGTGATTTGAGGAGACAGATGAAAACACAGCGCCTATTGGCACAGATGGTTTGGATTAAGGAAATCATCATGAGACGAGACCTTCCAAATCTCCCAGAGGAGCTGTGTGTTTGCTATTCTTCGACAATTCTCACCCCCATGAATGTCCTGTACACATCGTCCTGCCACGTCCTGCGCCTTGAGTATTTAAAATGACTTGTACTATCAACACAAGGAGACGAAGAGTGATGTAAGAGGCCCATGCACAATGTGTTAAAATAAACTGGACTGATGTGAAGATTTGTGAATATGATTAGGGGCCAAATGAATGAAATTTGCTGGGACCTACAGTTAGAGTAGTACATGAAAAAGGCAAATAGAAGGACACACCAGGAAAAAGGGCCGGGGTTGGTTTCAATTAAACTGCTAATGGAGTGAAACAAAAATGACGATAACCTTGATTCACAGAAGGGTTGAAGATTAACAAAAACATAGCAAGGTGAGCTTTAAAAATGCTTTAAAAATAATAAAAGAGACTGTTCCACGCTGCTTTTTCCAGTGTAATTCTACAAGTGTTTTTAAATAATATAAAAACTATGATACCCAGAAAAGATGTATTTATTCCTACCCATTCTTTTTGGTTTTACAATATAAAGTACCATTAATGTACCTCTCACAGGCTTTGCTCATTGGTTTTTGGATTTATTTTTATGCAAACATGTTTACTCATATGTTTATGAGTCTGTGGTTTGGTTGATAGGCTTTGCTGCTGCATGCTAGTGCTGCCACCTAGGCACCTTGGAGGCATACTGCCATCTCCACTCCACCCAAATGCTACTAGATGAGAACTGCAGTTCAGCTATTCATTTCCGAACATAAAAAAAAAAGAAATCCGCAAACTACAACAAGCAAACAAATGATCAGAAAACCTGATAATTATTACCCGAATCCTTATCTGTGGCACAGACCCTGACCACTGGTTCTCCAGGGTCTCTGTTCTCCGGAACACTGGCGTTGTATATGTTCTGAGTGAAGACAGGTGGCTGGTCGTTCACATCCCCCACCTCTACTGTCAGAGTCTGGGTCGAGGAGAGAGAAGGATGGCCATGGTCCACGACATGAACGGTCAGGTGGTGGTAACGTTTAGTCTCATAGTCCAGAGGGGCTGAGAGAAACAAGAGGCCTAAAGAAGATGGCAGAGTTTAAATATGATGGCCAGAAGGGGGAAAAACATTAACACTGACAAAAATAATTAACACTTAATAAAAAAAAATATTGCAGGTTATGTAAAATGTGAAACCAGGGTTTCAGGTTCTTAAAGCTTTTATAAGAATTAGTGAACCAAAAAAGTTCAATCATAGAAATCCTACCTGTTTTCTCCTCCAATGTGAAAAGTCTCTTCTTGTTTCCAGCTATTATGACATAGGAGACAACTCCATTTTCACCTTGATCTCCATCTATGGCCACAAAATGATGCAGCAGACTCCCCACTTCTGCATCCTCCATCACCTGAACGGTGTCCGCTGATATCAACACCGGGCGGTTATCGTTGACATCCAGCAGGAAGACCTGAACAGTCACTGATGTCTGTTTACGCTCATCCTTCGTCTTTGCCTCATCTGTGGCTGTTACAGTGAAGGCAAAGCTGGAGGTGGACTCATGGTCTAAAGGTACTGCTACAGTCAGGCTCCCTGTGTGAGGGTTGATTTCAAAGGGGAATCGTGACAAAGACCCACTGAGTTCAGGGTCAAAGGTCAGAGTGTAGCGTAGGGCACTGTTAGGAAAAGTCCCATCAGCATCTCTGGCATGAAAAGCAAACACCATTGATCCGAGTGCAGTGTCCTCTCTCAGACCAAATGTCACCAGTTTATCAGGGAACCAGGGTGTGTGGTCGTTTACATCCTCCACCATCACACTGACCAGTACAGATACGTTCACTCTAGGAGCAAGGCCGACATCTTCAGCTCGAACCATGAGGAAGTACTGCGTGGCAGCCTCGTAGTCCAGCGGCTGGTTGATGTATATATCCCCAGAAGAGCTGTCAATGCCAAAGTGAACACTCCCGTCGCCCTCAGAGATAGAGTAGTGGAATATCCCTTTATCTGCAACACTGGCAGAGCCAATAACAGTAGCCGGTGCTGTGTCTTCTCGAACTGTAAAGCGCCTCACAGTTTGCAGATCACCACGACCATAGAGAGCCTCTACTCCATGAACCTGCAGGTAAAACACATACATTATAACATTGTGTATTTACACAATATCACATAAAACTAATTAACTCAATTATAACAGTTCAGAACACAAGGGAGAATTTAAAAGATGTGGTAGCACAGAGAAAAATGTTCAAAGAACATCTCTTGAAGAGACAATGTATTTCCCATGAGTGGAGATGTGGAGGAAGAAAAACCTCTCCAAAGTGAAGTGTTTTTGGACATCCACACTCAACACTGTGTCGCCACATGGTTAAATGAAGACTTTCATACAAAGCCCTACTTCAGAAATAATAAATGCCTCCTGCTGGTGCACAACTTAGGCTACTTCTGCTGCAAAAATCACAACAGTTACATAATTTTTGCGTTCCATTTGTAAAATAAAAAGGTGTACTTTATACAGCACATTATGTGCAGGTTTGTGCTTAGTTTAGAATAATTACTTTGTGTTTTTTTTATATACTAAACACATAATTATGGAGATCATGCAAGTCTTTTAGTATCATGTGGTCTAACTCTAGGTTGACCTGACAAACATGCTTGTGTAAGCATGTTCTTGTTTATTCTTACATGGACATTTACCTGACAAAGACCTTGATGGTTGAAATGTTATCTCACTAAATTCTGGGGAATTTGCAGCATGTGGACGACAAATCTCAGGAGCCAAAATAACTGTGCAAATAATCTGTTTAAACCAAATATAAAAACTACTATCAAGGTAAATTCACAACAAAAGCAATAAGAACCTTTCTGAACATGTTTTGCAAAGGCTTCTGGGAAGAATAAATAAAATTAGTGGTAAATCAACTCCAGATTCAGGGACCTTGGAAGTAAAACCAGAACACAGCACTGTGATCATTTGTTGTGAAAGCTGCTGAAATAACAGTCAAACACAGCAGGTGGGGAGTTTTTGAAAATACAAACAAGACATTCCCAAACTTAAGAATAATGCAGCCCAATTTGAAATCTGAAAATGTCCTGCAGCCCAGCCAAACCTTTAAACACAACTTTGATCAACACACCAGACTAAGATTACAATAAGTATTTTTCATCTCATAAAAATGCACATAGGCCACACATAACGATGTGTAGCAACAGGTCTGATAAATGACGAATAACAAAAATCCCATGGCTTTCTTTTATTAGTTTGATTTTTGTTATGTATGTATTTAATAAGAAATATCTTATGGTCACTTCAAACTTAATTACAAAATTAAAAGTTAAACTTTTTATTCATTCATTCATTCATTGTATATATTATATTGTATTTATTAATTTATTGTGGACGACCTCTTGTGGCCCACCTGCAGTAACAGCCTGGCCCACCAGGGGGCTGCGCCCCACACTTGGAGATACTCTATGTACACTGGTATGTTCCTCTGTCCTATACTACATACAACTTTGAACATTTCATACAAATTTCATACATCCTGTAATTCACCAAGTTATACTGCAGTAACTTAGGGGGTAAATAATCATAAAATAATTCAAAAATTAAAGAATCAATTTTTAACATGCAGTAAAACCTAACATTCACGTAGGTGAAATCTAACTTAACAACACCAGAATCACAGTGTGCCGTAGAGTAAATGCTGTACCTGTACATGAACGACTGCAGTGTCCTCCTGAGGTGTGGCTCCGCTGTCCTTGGCAGTTACTCTAAGAACATAGTACGGTTTAACGCTGTGGGTGAAAAGCTCTGTTGTTTGGACGTCTCCGCTTTTACTGTCGATTTCAAAATGTCCAAGATCACCATCTTCTGGATCAACAGAGAAAAATAAAACCTGGTGATTCTCATTAACTCATGAGTGAGTGACTGGCACATGACAGTAAATCATGATACCGCACAGCTCCACGTAATCAAATGTATAACATCCATTACCCACCTGTGACCAGTGAGAAGGTAACTGTTCCATTTTCACCTGCATCTAAATCTTTGGCAAACATGTTTATTGCCAAGGTGCCTGCTGGTAAACCAGACCATATCTGTAATACAGAAAAGAACATGTCAAGTTTGAGACATATGAATGACAACACTTCACACTAAGTCAGTGCTGGTGTTGTAGCTGTTTTATGTCATGTCATATTGTCACCACAGACTAGAAAGTGCCTTTGGAAATATAAATCAGTGATGATGTGAACTGATTGGGGTTATAAAAGAAAGTCATGTACTCTGACACATCAACAATGACCCATGTTTTGATGCAGCCAGTGTAATGGTTTACTTAAAACACAATGGAGGCAGGTGGTGCATTTTGTAGCATTGATTTTCATGAAAAAGGTTGTCAAGGGTCTTAGGTGTGTTCAAAAACCAGAATGTATAAGTAAAAAACAGATACATAACAATAAAATATATTGAAACAAAGATGAAAACAACACCCACTTTTCAGAAATTTTAAATCGCCCCGCTAATTACCCCGTTAAATCACACACACACACACACACGCACACACACACACACACAGACTGACAGTGGGTGACATGATACAAATATACAATCTATTTTCTTTAATTGCTAATATCTTTGAGGTAATAATTTTATTATTAGTTTCAAAACTTTTTAGACCTTATTTCCAAACTCTGCTTCATAAGAAGCAGTCTGCAATTTTTGGTGTATTTTTATTTGATAGTGACAGCAGACACTTGGACAGGAAATGCGGGAAAACCAAGACAGAGGCCATGCGGCAACCCTCCAAATCAAACTGGGGCTGTTGTGGTAATATGATATGCATAATAACTACTACAGTAGCCCAGAAGGGATCATTCTTACCTGCACACTGAGCTCTTTGCCGGCAGGCAGGTGTGTAAACTGTGGTGCATTGTCATTAACGTCAGTGACCAGGATGTGAACGGTGGCAGTGGCATTGAGACGAGGCTGACCCTGATCTGTAACCATCACCTTCAGACTGTGCTGGCTGTGCCGCTCCCGGTCCAGTGCCACCCAGTTGATGATTTCACCTGCACGGGTGCAGAGAAGACAGAGAAGGAGCAGGATGCACAACTGTACAGTAAAGCACTATATGGCCACAAGGTGATGTTTCTAATGTGATTTATTTTTGACCTGTTTTAGTATTGATGCGAAAGAACTTCCCATCTGAGAGCAGGATGTAGGACAGCTGGGCGTTTTTCCCAGAATCCTCATCGATGGCCTTCACTGTTCCCACCAGGCCTTGTGGTGAAGACCCCTCCGACACGGTGAAGTAGTAAACCTCACTGCTGAACTCCGGGGCATTGTCATTGATGTCTAGCACCAGGACTATCACTGTGGCTGTAGCTGTGGTGTTAGCCAGTGATGCTTTGCTGGCTGTGACCAACACTCGAAAATGATATGTTGATTCTGACTCGTAGTCAAGGTTGTGGGACAGATATAACCATCCCGTCTTTGGGTGAACCCGAAACGGAGCAGGAGGGAACCCAGCCTCTGTCTCCAGGGAGTAAGTGAGGCTTGAGTCCGGCATGTGAGCTCCTCGGCTCCAGTGCGCCCTCACCTGGATGACCCGAGAGTCCTTCCGGTATCCCTCGCCTATTTCCACCTGGTAGATTAAAGTCTCGAAGGCCAGGCTGTCTTCAGCGGTGGTGCGGTCTATGTCGACTGTGAGAATAAGTGTGGAGTTCAGGGAAAGTTCTCCATCATCTTTAGCCATGATTTCCAGGCTGTATCTCTGCTGATGATCCACCTGTAAACTCTGATTTAACGTAACTGTCCCAAGGTTGGGGTCAACAACAAAAGTGCCATTTCCACTTTTCAGGTAATACTGCACCCTGCCATTGGCACCGCTGTCATAGTCATGTGCATGAGCGATGAACAGCACTGTTCCTGGTAGTGTGTTTTGGGACACTGTGATGATGTCACTGAGTTTGGGGAAGACTGGAGCGTTGTCATTAACGTCAGCTATAGTGATGTTGACCTGGGCGGTGCTGTAAACTGTAGAGGTGTCAGTGTAGGACTGAAGAACCAACAGGGCATATGGCTGCGATTCGTGGTCCAGAGGTTTGATGTTGCTGATGAGGCCGGACTTTGAATGAACCGAAAACAAACCCTGGGGGTCTCCAGAACAGATTCGGTAGGACAGGGACTCCACAGAGTCTGTAAGGAAAAACAGCATTTACTGATAGATGAACACCAGTCCTTCCACCGAAGCTACAAACTCAATATTTTATGTCAGCGGCAGCATTTAGTCATCCAGATAGTTTTGGTTTCCAGGTTTTGAGACGTGTTTCTAAAATTTTGTTTTTACTCCAAAACAATGGAGAATTTAATTTGGTTTGTGATGCGCACTGGAATAAAAAGTGTCACCAATGCGTCATTCCAAGAACAGCTGCTGTGTACCAGTTTCACACTGCACATAGAACACAGCGGCAAATCATCCATCCATTATCTAAGTAGTCTAGTATACAACTGGAACACAGCTCATGTCTCTGTTATTCTGGACACTTCACAGAACAACACAGAAAATGTAACAGTGCTAACGATAGCAAGTACAAACTTTTTGGCTCATGTCATGTCAGGGTCATAATATTCCTAATATGTTTTTATGCACTATTTATGGTGTATAAATTCATTAGAGAATAAATGGGAGGAAAACAATCTATAGTATATGTAATGCAAACATAGTATTTTACTTGCGACTGAACACTACAGTGGATACACAGCACACACAGAGTAAGCAACACTAGGTAAATACAGTACAGGTCAGAAGATCCCATTAATCCCCTCCATGTGTTTGTAGCACTTCATCAGTAACTACCAACCACTGAAAGAAGCAAATGGCTTAACGGTGTCCAAACCCTGACGAACAGGCCCAGTTCTGTTGTATCAGCTTTAAACTGAAGCCTTAATCTGTTAATTGATTAGATGGCCTTAAATGACTGTCTAGTGTTGTTCAGCTGCTGAAGGGGCTCAGTGGACTTTGTGGCACGTAACAAGTGGACTATGAGAGGATTATCCTGAAAAACTGGGGAGCTGGGAAACCCTCCACAATGAGAGCAGACTAGTCTGTGTTAGTGTAGGACAAATATTACACAGTGTACGAGCCGCTGTGTCTCTTTATATACGAATTCTATGTGTATCCATGATGTGTAAAACATTACTCACATTTGCCTGCAATTACATCAGAGAACAGTCGCACCAAGCTAATTTCACTGTCACTATTATAAAAACACATTTAACACTGACAAAAGTCCTACACCTTTAAATGTCCATTTATGATCGAGTTATATTTGACCTCTGAGAACACAGATACAAGACATTGTACAACTGTCTCTGAGCCTTTATGACTTGTCATCTGCTTATGTGACTAAGGAGGATTAAAGATTAAACTACAGCCTTCCTCTTTCCTCTTTCATGTCTGGAAGGAAGATCTGAGCTGTGGCAATGATTGCTTTTGTCACAGTCACCTGACAGGATAAATCCTGTTTAAATACAACATGTCTGTAATGTTCAAGCTTGGAGAAATTTGCTCTGTAAACCAGTTATTTAAAGTAATTTCTGTATTACTGCTTAAACTGAACAGAAAGGGACAATGTACCTGTTTGTGATACATTTGCTTACCTTCCTCTTATACAGCTACATCAGCTATATGACTTATACTGAATTAATTAACAACCATTGTCACATGAATTTTCAAACCTAAATGATCTTTTTTTGTTATACTCGTGTAGGCGAACTTTTTTTATACCCTGAATGGAAATAAAAGCTGAGCCAATTCCACTGTGATCAAGGAAACAAGAAAACTCACTCTCTTGTTACTCTGGTGCCTTCCCTCGGCTGGGTACGAGTTAAGGCAGTTACTACTGACCTGCTGGGGTTACTGCCTCCACTGTCCCCACAGAGGTCCCCGGAGGTGCATCCTCAGGCACCGTGAAGGTGTAACGTGATCTCTGGAACACAGCCGGAGCCTGAGCGCTGCGTAAAACATTCACTGTGACCACAGCAGGTCTGGCGGAGGTCAAGCCCTCACCATCCTGTGCCCTTATCAAGAGCTTCACGCTGGCTGCACCCAAGCGGGTGAGAGTGGAGGTTAGGAAGAGCATTCCTACAGGGACAAGAATAAGCTCTAGTTTGGTTTTCTTCAACGAGCATTAACTGAATCTGTTCTAGTTGTACAATCATTCCAAAGTTGTATTTTTTTTAGCTTCATTTCATTAGCACTCAGAGGTCTGTCAGTTTTCTGTCTTTTCCTTTGTTTAATCAGGTAAAAGTCTCACTGAAAGCACTTGGTTGAATTAAATACTAACCTGAAACTATTTTAAATCATTGACCATGTCAAATTGTTTTCCAATCCAAAAAAAACATCATTTACTTGTAACTTGTATTGGCACCAAATTTGTGGTAGTGAAAAATGACATTACACAGTGAAAATCACATCAAAATTAATCTAAATATTGTTTACTGCAGTGATGACAGAAATGTGTGTCCTGCAGCTGCAATGATTATTCTACCAGGAACTCAAGAAATCATTATGGCTGATGCTGCATTTAGTTTGGAAAAAGCATTAATGTTCAAGAAAAAGCAACTTCATAAGACGAGTTTTAAAATGGTCACCTTATTCTACCTATGTAGAAGTGCATTTTGTGTTGCACTGTGGCAGAGTGTGGCCACATGGGGAGCTCTGTTGCCCCCCCCCCCCCCTGAGCAGTGACACACACACACACACACACACACACACACACACACACACACAACCATTTCATGGAGACTTACACAAAGTAAGCAGTTGTTTATCCCTGAACACTGGGACTGCCAGCCACACACGTTACTTAAATACTACTGAGTAGAGCTTTGTGATAGGTCACTAATGCAGGGGAAGTCATCCAAACACAGTTTAAAAACTCCACAATACCATCTCACAAATCACCAAAAATGTAACTTCTGAAAGTTTGCTAATGTCTTGCCCCTCAGGGCCACCATACTTGGACAGATAATCTCTAGAAAATAACTATCTAAAGGGTCCATTACATCAGTTTGACTTACACATTTCAAACACCTTTATTCTGCCTTCATCATCTACTGTATTTCCCTATTTGAATGTGCTCCATTAGTTGAAAAAGAAAAACAGTAAAGATGCTGTTTATTCTGCATCATGCTCATAATCTTGTGTACCTGGATTTCTTTTGTCCACTGACCTGTTTGTTTATCCAGTGCAAACAAACTGGACACGTCACCAGGCAGGATTTCGTAGGTGACCTGTCCAAACCTGCCAGAATCTTGGTCAGTAGCGACAACAGTGAGAATTTCTGTGCCGGGCTGTGCGTGGCTGCTGATGCTGACCATGTACTCCTCAGGGTTAAACACTGGAGCGTTATCATTGATGTCTGCAATCTCAATGTGCACGTAGGTTTGAGCACTCAGGCCTCCCTAAGAGGTAGAAAGTGAGAGAAGGAATGCTATTAGGCAGTGAAATAAACAGACAGCACTTCAAGATGCAGTTTGTGAGCTAAATGTAACCATAGAACTTGGTATGATCACAGTGCGGGGAGTAATATACTGTATGATGGTTCAAGAAGGACGGTGAGGTCGAATGTAAGCCCACTCACTGGATCTTCAGCTTTGACCAGAACATCGTGGACTGTCTGTCCTGTATCTCCATCAATATCCTGAGAGACACACAGCACTCCGGTCTGTGGGTGGATGTAGAAGAGGGGGTGTTTGTCCTGCGTGTCAAAGCCATCAGACAGAGAGTAGAGCAGCGTGCTAAAGTCAGGGCCATCTGCGTCTGTGGCAACAACCTGAAAAGAAAAGAAAAGAAAAGAAAAGAAAACTGTTTAATGAAAATCCTAAGAAACTAAAACACTGTGATGAACATCTGAGAAACAGTAACTTAAAAATACAGAAGATGTGTTCAGTGGACATCAGCAAGATTGAATCTAGAATCTGGTACTTCATCTCACAGTAACTGCATAAAAGGAATGACATCAGTATAGTGGGAGAAGGGTTCAGACCTTTAAGATAAAAATATGAACTGTGGACAATTACTCCTAAAAAATGTGAATGAGTTGTTTGAATTCATAAAAAGCCTGAACAGCTAGTCAACACAACGACACTGGTGACGAGTGGAGTCTGTCGAGGAACATCTTTAAAACCTTTCAGCCACATCGGTAAAAGTGCTTTGTTCTTGTGGATGTGGGTTTTACTTGTCTTTGGAAAATCAGAAAATGACTATCTGAATAACTGACTAATAATTTCAGTGTCTATATTAGTACTGATGAACGTATTTGTGCTACACACTGAACATTAACACTCACTGACAACAATTTATTTATTACTGACCTGAAATACAAATCACTTGGGCCTGGAATTTTTGTTTATTGAGTGATGTGTCATTCATCTCTTAACTGTACATCTATTATTAACAGTGATAAGTTGTAGTAGCAGTGTCATCTGCCTCTAAAATAACTGAATCATAATGCTGCCCGTGAAGGTCAACATCATAAAAGCAGAAAAATCCCCTGGTCTATCACTGCAATGCAAACAAGAGACAGGCAAAGTGCCGAGCAAACCGACGGAGCTCCTTTCATGTCTGACTGTGCTCGTGACAACAGATGCGTTTCACAAACGGCGCGCTCGCTCATATAGATGCTATCATATGAGACTTTATGACTTCAGATCAGCGGACGTTTTAGAGACATGGGTCAAAGTCTGGAACACACCCAACAAGCTTTACGCCAACAGCGTATCTAGGAACACGCATGTTCTTCAGTGGTTCTCTGATTTATACATATGGGTCAGTGTTAACAGTCGGCTGCTCTTATGAAAACTGTATAATTCTTGTCTTCTTGATGATGATTGTTCATATGAATCTGAAGCTGACACACAGGACGAGGTTATCACTGGCAAGAAAACATCCTGCAGCAGACTGAATCACTGTCAGTCCTCTATAGCTGACAGGCGCTCCTTACCGAGGGACGTCCAAGGTTCTGTGTCTAAAAACATGTCTGTCATGGGCAACAAAGCACCTGGGATCTGTGTCATTTTGGTTTGATTGTAATCACATCATGCTTTTTAATGACCTCGTTTGGCTTTAGTGATTAGTCAGAACTGAAGTAATTTATCAACCGCTTCAAAACCTGGTTATTTTTTGACAATTAATTTACTGCTTTTCACTCTCCAAAGTTGGCATGTGTGAACTGTTGAAAGACAAAACAAGTAATGTGAAGGTGTTGCCATTTGTCACTGTTTTGGGGAATAGACAGAACTATTAACTATTCATTTGCTGAATTCTTCCGACTCTCAGCACTGAGCATTTTGTTTTTCGTCACATCTCTGATGGTACTTTGTATTTACATAGAACTAAAACTAAGATGCTGGATCACTCTGCACCAAAGGCACTTCACTAAAAACCAAGTTATAGAATTCTTTTTTTTTAAGTTCCAAACACCATTTAGGTTAAATTATTAAAATAAAGCTTCTATTGTAATGGGCTTCAGCTTGTGCCAGGCTACAGGAGTGTGGTACCAGGCATCATGTCTGCCAGCCACAACTGGAGCGGGTGTGTGTTCAGGAGGAACACTAACTGCTTTGTACATACACAATGACAAGTAAGACAACATCGCAGCACGAGATGTCAAATGAAATGTCTGGTTTGCACTTAAATCTGCAGCTTTTCTTCTTTGAGACCATACTAGCGGATGTACCTGAGAGAAGTCAAGGTGAAAGTAACACTATCCACTGGACCGTGCTGCAGAGCAGTGGTTCCCAGCTTCATTTGTCTTGTTTTTTTTTTTTTTTGAGTCTATTATTTCATATGATTTGTAGGCCTGAACAGGGTGGGATAAAACCTGACTTGTGACACTGCACCTGGATTAATCAGATGAATTTATCCATACAAACTAAATAGGATCAACGGTTAGTACAAAATATATATATGTCTAATTTGAACGAACTATCTTTACATGGAAACAGTCTTGGTTTTATTTGTCCAGGTTTTAAAATATCTATCTTGGCAATTTCTGTCTCTGCCCCAATAAAATGGAGGTAAAGAAACTTTCACTTGAGGGGATCATAACATTTAAAAGTGATATACTTAAAACGCCATCTCTTAGAGAAACACTGTCCTGGTTATCCAACAAAAACAACAGGGTTTCATTTGAACTACTTTCAACCAAATAAAAAGGTAGGGAAACCACTTAGTGTGTTCATAAAGTATTTTTGCAAAGAAATCTTACTGTTCAAGGTTTTAAATGTAGGGTATGAAGACATAATCACTGGGCTTTAGGGTGAGGGACATCTTGGTGGCCTGAGAGGTTAAAATGTTGTCCAAAGTTAACCTCGACTACACTTCTCTCTGTCCATTTACTACCAGTTCTCTATTACATAATAAAAGGCATAAAAATGCCCCCAAAAAATAAAACCATAACGTTCCACATGTCTAGATACCGGAAAACATATGTGAGAAAATACAGTGTTCTGTGGTTTGGGTGAACTGTCCCTAGAAGCAAATCATTCTCCAACATACTTGTAAAAAGCAGCTTCCGATGTGGCTGTGCTCTGGGATGGACACGTTGTACAGCTGCTGCTGAAACACCGGCTCGTTGTCATTGATATCCTCCACCAGCACCGTGACTGTTGCTGTGGACGACAGAGCTGGTTCTCCTCCATCCGCCGCCACCACCAGGAACCACACCTCCATTTGCGTCTCTCTGTCCAGAGCTGCAGCTGTGGTGACCAGGCCCGACTCTGGGTTGATGCTGATCAGGGTGTTCTGGTTGGATTTGAGGATGGAGAATCTGATGTCTGAGTTGACGCCTTCATCTGCATCTCGGGCCTGCATCTGGATGACGGAACTGCCCTGAGGCGCATCCTCTGAGATGCTTATAATGTATACGTCTTTCTCAAATACTGGGTGGCAGTCATTTGTGTCAGCCACCTTCAGGAGGAAGACCACCTCACTACTCAGAGGGGGGCTCCCAAAATCTGAAGCTTGCACCTTCAACTCATATAGATCCTTTTCTTCCCTGTCTAGCTCTGCATTAACACATAAGGCGTACAGGAAATCATCTGTTTGCTTTAAGTTAAACATCCCATCACCTCCCTCAAGTATGACAGCAACTCTCTCCTCCTCAAGGTCAGGGTCTGACACAGAGATCCGGGCAACATAGTCCCCAATTGCTGCTGCCTCTGACACCACTGCATCTCCTGCCTCACTGAGAAACAGCACATTGATGGTGGGACTGTTATCGTTGGTATCAAGTACTTTTACACCCACAAAAGTGCTGCTGTACTCAGGTTGAGCCCCATTGTCCGTGGCACGGATGATCAACTCATGAAAAGCCTGAGTCTCAAAATCAAGCGGCTTGTTGAGGTAAACCACCCCGGAGGTTTTGTTGATGGAGAAAATCTCATTTGGATCACTTTGCCGCCTGTTGATCTCGTAAGTGATTTGTCCATTGCTGCCCAGGTCGAGGTCAGTGGCGTGTACCTGACACACAGCAGACATGACCGGAGTGTGTTCTGGCACCGAGGTGTGATATTCGGTCTGGTTGAACACAGGTGGGTTGTCGTTCTCATCCAGGACATGGATGTTCACCTGAAGAGTCCCCGTCCTGGCTGGGATCCCACCATCAAAGGCTTCAATGGTCAGGGAGTAGAAATCCTGTGTTTCTCGGTCCAGTTTACTACCAAGGATGAGATCCAGGCTCACGTAGTTGCCTGCTCCACTGCGATAATCCAGGTGGAATAACTCACCCATGTCACTCTCTGTAATCCTGTATCCTTGGGTACCAAACTCACCCTCATCTTGGTCTTTAGCACCTTCTAGTTGAAACCGACTCCCTGGGGGACTCAGTTCTGATATTTCCAAGTCAACCTCCCCTGACGGAAACACTGGTGTATGGTCGTTGACATCTTTCACCTCTATTTTCACTTTTATTATCTCACCTGTGAGAGTGGCTGCAACAAATTCGTACTTATCTCTGCTCTCTCTGTCCAGAACCACAGCCGTGGAGATGATCCCCGTGTCTGCGTCGATTTCCAAGTCTCTAAACACATAGGAGTCTCTGCTCTCTGAGATGAAAAATCCAGTACTGGTCCTGTTTAAGCCTGCACCCAGATCTCCAACGATGGTTTTAGCGGGCAAGCCCTCTTTAACAGCCAGGGTCAGGTTGGACACCTGTCCCAGTGCGTGCGCACGAAGCCAAAAGAACAGGATGAGGGTCCGAGGGAGCAAAGCTGAGGCATTTTGACGACCCATTCCTCCTTTACACATGGCTTTGAGCTTCTTGAGAGATAAAGGCGGGCTACATACTGGTAAACTCACCTTTTAAAGCGTCTTTCCACATAAAAACACAAAAACGCACTGAGCATTTTTGCGCGCAGGAAAGCAACCAGCAGTTCTTCCCCATCACATTGTTTCAGCAGCTTGTTACGCGATTTCAGAAACGCAAATCCTCTTGTGAACTTCTTCACACATCACGGGACTGAACGACCACAGAACACCCGCTGTGCACGGTGAACACACCTCCTGGCAGCCGGCACGGCCCACGCTGACTGGCTCCATCTGTGTTTAAGATTGAATTAGGGCGAGAGATTACCTTCAGTTCCGTGTGGTGACAGGTGGAAACTCTTGACCTGTGCAAGATCACACAGTGACCTGGAAAGTGGAAGAAACAAATAGCATGCGCAGATCGAACTGGAGCGTGAACCCCGAGCAAAATTCACTCTATGACTTAGTCTGACTTCGGTGAAGTGGTTAGAATAAATTAAACGGGTTTAGTTTTGGCACAAGCTCATAAAGTTGTGGTGTGTCTCCCTCTATCGGTGAGCAGGAGAACCGCAGGCCTTGCGGTGACCAACCAACTTTTGTTCTTCTGATGCCTTTGTTCAGTTTACACAGTGTCATGATCTGCATGATGCCAGGAACAAAATCATGGTGGGAAACAATCCTCTATTCTGTTAGCTGAGTGTGCATAATAATTACAAAGTGTAGACTCCCAGAGTTGCTTAAAATAAATAAAGCACAGGACAGGAGTTTGGCCAAGACCAAGATGTACTCCCATCCAAATACAAAAAAGGTGAGCGGTTTTGTTTACAGTACATTTGGATATGCCAAAGAACACGGTGGTAAGATTTCAAGGAAGTTTTTTTTAGTAGAAACAAGTTCCTGTAAAAGTCGTTCACACTGACGTTCCTGGATTATGCAGATGAATTGGGACATTTACAGAGAAATATGTTGCTTCTATTTTTTATTTCTTTAGGAACACACCAACAATATATGAGACATTTTTTGCTAATTGGGTGGAGTGGCCCTTTAATCTCAATATCACCCTGAAACTAAACTGTATGGTTATCAATCAGAGTAGATTTATCTAAAATTTGTGCTGGTGGACTCACTTTTGCTGAGACTTGACTTCACAGGTGGTCAGATAATCCACCAAGCTGGTGACAGCAGAAACACAGTGGAGCCCAGTGAGACACCTGGAGATCAGTGCTAACAAGAGGAGATAAAGGGTGACGGCTGTAAACACAGTGGGAACACCGATGACGGATACCTTGGTGAAAGCAAACTCATCTTCACTGGACAAAAGCAACAGCAGCTATGTGAAAAATGTGGTGTTTATTAAAAGGAGCAAAACAAAACGGAACATTGCGAGCCAGAGAAAAGGGCAATGTTTGTTTCCATGTCTGTACAAAACAATTCTTCGATACAGTGTCTTTCTCTCTGCAGGGAAAAGCATCATTTTACAGTGAAGACTAAAAATGGTTTTTAGAATAAAGCAAAGAACCAGAGTTTCTTTCAAGATGTGGTTGTTTCTGTCACAGACGCGTTAGGTACACGGACATGTGCCTGACAAAAACAGCACTAACAAGCAAATCATGATGGAGGCATCCACAGCCATAGGTCTGGTAGAAATAATTTCCAAAATGTTTACTGTGACATGAGGGAAAAGGAAAATCATTAGAATCTTTTTCTCTTGAGGATTTCTGGCTTCCAGTTGACTGGATGGCTTTCTTCTGTCTGCAAGAGAGAAAACAGTAGACCAGTTACCTCTGATGCCTGGGAGCTGCAGTAGCACAGAAACACCAACTTTCACTTGGACAAGAAAACCTACAGCAGTGTCGTCTTCTTTGTAAACTTTAATGGTCTTGTCTGCCTCCGCGGTAATCAGCCTGCTTTCTGAGTGGTCGAACATGCAGGCAAAGATTCCAGATTCGCTGTCCAGAGATCCAGGCTGCACAGCTGCATGAATCCGCTGGAAGTTGTAGCCTGTCCTCCAGTCCCACATGTGGATGGTTCCGTTGTCGGCTACAAAGAAAAGCCTACATTAACTCAAATCGCTTCTTATAATGCATTAATACTCAAACATCTTCAGATTAAAGCCAGTAGTTTAGAAGAAATGAACTGATGTCTGTAGTTATTAATACCTCCAGACACCAGGACGCCGTCAGAGCTAACGGCCAGCGTGTTGATAATAGCGTTGTGGCCCGACAGGTTCTGGATGAAGTTCCCGTCTGGGAACATCCACTGCTTGATGTTATCAGCAGAACCAGAAGCAAACGTGTATCTGTAAAACAGAGGGAACAAATCAACTCTAATTTGTTTGTGTAACATTTTAACCCCTAGGTTTGAATGTCTTACTCTTCCTGGTAACAACTAGAACTGAAAGTAATGCTTCTATTCATTATTAATTAACATGTAGTGTGTGTGTGTCGTTTGTTAATTAGTCTGCTGCTCTGCTACACTGGCCTCAGTCTGCTGGTGATGGGTTACAAAGTGGTCACACAATCCTCCTCTTCCTGCACTGCCTGTGCGGTTGAGTTCTGCCCTTTTCATGTTTGTCAGCATTATTACAAAAACTGATTTGTGAATCATGATTCTAACATGAATCACATTTTTCTTCCACCCCTGCTCGACACCATACTTGCTACGCACAACGTGCTGACTTACTGTCTGGGGTGCAGCGCCAGAGTTCGGACAGACTTCTTGTGGTTGGTGAGCGTGGCTCTGGTTTTTCCACCAATCAGATCCCACAGCCTGATGGTGGAATCATGGCTGCCTGCAACAACGTAATCAGCCATCAGTCTGGGATTAATAGTAAGAAGCCAGCTACTTGGAAAGAAACTGCAGTGTGTTAGACAGAATGAGACAGCTGATATGCTTAGACTGGAGCTGCTCGGTGTATTTACCGGTGATGATTTGGGGCTCAGCAGCTTGGCATCTCACCGTGGCCACCGTGTTGGTGTGTCCTGTTAGTGTGTGCACATTAGCTTTTGTCCTGATGTCCCACACCTGAAAATCCATTTGGTTCAACCAATTAAACCAGCAGAAGCACAACAGCTTGAGCATCAAAACATTCAGCATTATTCTTCTGATGGACAGATGACCTCACGATGAACCTCATGGCTCAACTGAATACTATTTGAACCAATCTGAAACTGAGTGCAAATCGCACATAACTATACCAAGTGAAAAGGTCTGTGAGTGTCCTTCATCATGTATCTAGTGGCCCACTGTTCAATAAGGGCTGTATGAGCCTAAGGTGGCAGACGTGGGCATCTCATAGCCAGAGATATTCATGCTTGGAAAGTCTTTCAGTCAGGAAAATCACAGAGGATCAATCATGGCCAAGACCTGACCAGATATGATGCTCAGTAAACGTAATCGTGTGACCTTAGCTTCCATTAGACTGCAATCTAAAATGCAACACAGTCAACTCTTCTCCCTGATACAAAAACAACAATGAATCTCATCCTTAAAACTACACAGGTTAATTTGCTTTCTTTCAGCACAACACATGCAGAGGAAAAGCTTACCCTCGCTGTGGCGTCTCTGCTGCATGTTACCAGCACGTCAATGGTTGGATGCAGGTCTAAATCATACACAGCACTCAGGTGTCCGTGATAGTGCCTGATGACCTAAAACACAGACTGACTTTGTAAAGAGCCTTCAAACGTAGCACAGAGAATACAAAATCACAGACCACCAAATACCACTCATATTACAGCCTTTTAAAAAGGTTTAAATCGAGTCGTAACTCACCTTGTTGTACTCCAGATCCCAACACTTGACTTGCTTGTCTTCTCCACAGGAGAAGAGGTACGGGCTGCGACTGCTGACCGCTACACCACGCACCGTACTAATGTGTCCGGTCAGAGACAGTTTGAGTTTCCCGCTGGCCAGGTCCCAGATCTGTCAAGACAAACAGCATTCCCCTCATGTTAGGATCATTAAGGTACTTTCCCAGAAATAGCATCTCTAGTGTGCCACCTGAAGGTGGCAGGAGGTTTATTATCCTGGAAGCTGAAGTCGTAGATTACGGAAAAAGGTGCATTTGTTATTGCGTGATGATCCAAAACAAAGAGTACAATATGTGGCAGCTATCACTGACTTATTAATGGATACACTGATAAAAACTAAAGCAGGCTATAAATGAGAAAAGTTACTGGTGGAGACTAAAAATATTTGGGGATAATAGAATAAACCACAGACTGCTGATGAAGACCAAGATGCAGCTGAAAGCTCTGGCGATAGAAGGTACACCTTGAATTAAGACGATCTTGTCAAGCTGCCATTGCCGCAGTCAGAAATGACCTTTCGTGTTAATAACTTACTCTGCTGTAACTTTGATAACTAAACTGTACAAACATCAGACATGGTGGTTAGAGTGCAGAAAGCCAAAGTTTAAATCTTCGTTTTTTTTTTAAGCGTTTGACAAATTGAGACAAAGGATCGAACATCTATGTAACATATTTTTGACATTCCATAGATAGTAAAAAAAAATAATAATGAACAGTGAGACATGTTATCTTCAGCCTTACACACCTTTATAGTTCTGTCAGCAGACCCTGTGACAAACCACTGATTGCCAGGCTCCACAGCGATGGACCTCACCCAGCCCAGGTGACCACTGATGACCTATCACATAAAACATAGTGCCGTTAAAAATAACACAGGATATATTAGAGATACAGGCCTCATTTTAACATCAGTGTGTCAAGTGTATCTACAAATAACTTGAAATAATTTTTAGTTACCCGAAACAGTTTCCATGGTGGATGCCACTGGGGTTTGGGCATGGTTGGTGCTTTCCTCATGAGCGCAGTGTTTCTGGTACCGCCTCCTTCCATTAGAGACTAAATAAAACCATTTAATATGAGCTCTGCACTTCTTTCAGGGATTTTACAACAATGATGAGCAAGATATTACATCACGTGAATGCAGAAATATACAGCGACCCACCACAGCAGTGGACGGAGGGTGAGACCTCTCTGCTGCTCCTGCGTGTCGATGGATGTCACTAACACTGGCTGCAGTGCGGCTCACGTCCAGCCTAGAATTTAACAGCATTAACACAATTTACATGTGAATAACTTGCAGCAAAATCCTGAAACATGTCTGGATATGCACTTCATCTAGAGCGTTTACGAGTATAAAAAGATGCACCTGGCTTGTGAGGGCGGCAAAACCAGCGCCATGGAATGGACTCCTCCTTCTGTGGGATTCCTGTGCATCTTTGTGTCAGCGGTCAAGGCTACACCTGTCAAATGAAAAGCAGCGCTATGATAGTGGTAACACTGCTGCAGTTCAGAGAATGGGCTCAGAACAGCTACACTTTTGTAGCTTGGTAAAATTAATAGCATCCTACTAACCAGGTCCAGAAGGGTAAGCATGCGTCCCGGTGATCAGGTATTCTGGCTCATCATCTGAAACAAATTGGGGAAAACAAACGAACAGAAAAAGTGAGCTAGTTTTAGGGCATCAGTGATTACTAAACAAGAGGAAAAATATCTTAGTCTAAATCATCTTCAGCAAATTCCTAAATGTTGAGATATGTGGAGGCATGAAAATAACATTTCTGCATGGGTGTTATGACACAGCTGCCTGCAATGTTCATGTGCTCCTCACCTGGCTGTGTGTAGCTCTGGTGGCCTTGCATGTTGCCTGACACTCTGTCTTTCCCTTCTTTCAGGACGGGCATGTGTAAAACAGCACTATAATCTGCTTTCAGCTTCACACCCACCTTCACCTTGTGGCTGCAAATACAGGAGACAACAATGCTTCAAACCTTTTCCTTCTAAATAACTTGACAGATCATCCTCTAGGTGATCAAGACCTGATCGATCTTGTCATGTTTACAAGACAATTTGTTTTATACATATAATACGTAACAAGGGAAAAGCAGTTCATTGCTTTGAGCATAAGATTCTTTCAAGGAGGGGCAGCATGGATAAAATCTTCTTTTATGGTGTATAAATAACTCACATTGTTTAATCTTATACAAACAACAAGATACAACATATATTTTAAGTAATAAGAGTTAAGGTTCTAATTATGCAGATTGTCCCAGATGAACAAATAAATGTTACAGAATATAAAATACAGCATTTGATTCTAAGTTGTACTTTGTTAATAGCGTTATCCATCACTGAACTAACGTTAGATCAGTACTGGACAAAAAGTTTTAAAGTCAAGTTAAGATTTAAGAAAACTTTAATATGCTTGTAAAACCAAGAAAATAACATTCTGCTAATGTACAATGCCAGGTTTTGCTACCTTTCTTCATCCAGTGCGATGGATTTCGCGTGGTCGGACACAAACATGTCATGGGTCCTTTTGAGAGATCTGAAGACCAGAGTGTGGACTGAGTGCTTCTGGACATCCTGTAGAAAAATATGGTTACCTTAACAATTTATGCATCTAACCAGTACAATGATTGTAACTTTATAAGTTAAGAAGATCCTTCATTATACCCGATAACGTTTCAGACAATAAACCGTAAAGTTAACCTAACGCGTTCCAGTAACTAGCCGGGTCCGACTGAGTGTACAGTCGGTAACGCTTGAGCAGGAGTAAAGAACGACCCACGAAAATACAACAACCGTCGACCTACCTCAGTCATTGTGGAGATAAATAACTCGATCTGCCACCGTAGACTATTTATTCCAGTAAATATCGCTTGGTCACATGCAAAAAAAAATATAGCTATTATATACGTTTAAATATCGCTTGGTCACATGCAAAAAATATAGCTATTATAGACGTAAAAACATGACCACCACTAAAAACGAACGACCGAATGAACCGGAAGTTAACAGCACCAAGAGCGGCTACATCTATGAGGTAGTAACGTGCCTGCGCCACCTGCCGGACAGGAGTTGTAAAGACAATGCAAAATGTTCTAATCTACCCTACATCTGCATAATATAATCTTTTCTATAAATATCAGCATTTTAAATGATCTGTAATAATGTATTAATAGAATGCTAATTTTAGTGACTGTGCAGTGAGCACAGGCCAAAGTTTCTTTTTTCTTCTTGTGTACCAGACCATGTTTGCTAACAACGTGGCCCATATTGATTCATGGTTATTGAGTCTTGTTTGTGCAAAGTGTGTGGGCTGCCATTTTATGGCAGTGTGGGACTACAGCTAAACAATTCTTTGAAGACCAAAATTATCCTTTCTGGTGTTCCATATTGAGGGAGCCTTTATATGGGCCTTTTAGCACAGTTAGCCAATATTAGAACATACAATGGCATTTGTTATTTTGGCAAAACCATCTACAACAAACTAGATGGAATTTGGAGTCCACGAGAGTGATACATGCAGGATAACTAGGCTACTAAAACTCAGTGTATTATAAATAAATTGTACAAATGTGGATCAATACATGACAAGTGTGGTGTTCTGATAAGAAGTGTGCTATGACAATTTGGTGTGTGGTACTGAAAATGTAGTTATATAATTCCTCAAACCAGTCTTAGATGGTTTGGTTCCCACAGAAATTATCATTCTAGTCTCAGTCATCAAAAAAACTTCCTGTCTAAGTTCAGTGAGGAAAATAAAAACAGTCCTTTCTGCATGGGTAATTAATTCTACACATAAATTAAAGTTAGTATTTAATTAAGGCATATTAGGTGGAGTAGCATATTAAAATGAAACTTTTTTCAAACCAGCAAAATATTATGAAGAGCACTTTAGTTTAAATAGCTTAATTACATCTTAGATGTTTTCAAGTACCTGTTAGAAGTGCATTGAGAATCACTGCCCATTATTTTTAGTAAATCATTTTATTAAAAGACAAGTGTGTTTGTGTGAAGAGCTGTGTTTTGGTACTTATAAAGCAAATTGATTTTAGCCATACCTTGTTTAACCCGGGGATTTCACTTGTTTAAAAGGGTTTATGTGAGGCCAAAAGACTTATATTAGGCAGCATAAGCAAATGAAGTGTAAAAAATGTACATTTAAAATGGAATTTATTGCACAGCTGTGGCAATGCATTACACACAGCCATACATTTCTCATAGTAGTATGACAAAACATTTGAAGGTTTTGCAGGTTCCATTCAGAGACATTTTATTTGAGCTTTCCTGATGCTTTTTTAAACCAAATGCTGTCGTCTCATCTACACACTTTTAAAAATCATCCTCTTGTCATACAGACTTTACTAGGCAGCAGTTGAGTCCAAAAAGTGTCCAACAAAGTAAACCCAAGCATATTTGTTAAAGAAAAAACATGTATTCAGTGCTCAAAACAACACTTAAAGATAGAAATGAGATGTGAATATTGTTGTCCAAGTCAGATCATCACATCAAGCAAACATCATACGGAGAAACCACAAAGTCAGAAAGTTTCAACGATGGTGTTTTATTTGATCTATGGTGGTTTCAAGGCTGTTGTGCTGAACACGATAAGTGTAGCCCACAAACACGTGTGTCCACTTTTTATACATCTCCAAGTCCGGCAAACTGTTTGACACCAGTCTGCTGTCCATCTTCTGCCGTGATGCGACTGAGGGGAATGATCTTCATGGTGGTCTCTTTTAGGGAGTACCAGCGGTCGTGCCATGTGGCCCAAATGATGCCATTGTCGTAACCATGTTCACCTGCATCCTTTGCTGTGTATCTGCCACCTGGATGAAGAGAGAAACATTTTAAATGATTTTGCACTGATACAGTACAGTCAAAATTCTTGACCCACTTTTCCCATTAAATTCAAAGGGAAAGTACTTCCAAACATTTGGCCTGTACTGTAAGAGTGCTCGGACAATGGTTTTCTGTTTGTGCATGTGGGATTGTGTTGCTGATCTGTTAACAAATGGTTTAAAACACCATCAATAATGCAAATGAACATCAGTTAAAGGCTTTGGCAGTGATTTTAACCACATGATCTTACCTCGGTAGTATCTGCCATTCAAATGTGCAGCATGACATCTGTTCATCCACCACCCAGAACGGTCCTGCTGAGCACAGTTGCCGTCATACTTGTCATTGTCTTGGTCATGGGTACTGAAGTGCATGCCATTGTGTGATGTGTAGAACTTGTCACTGGGGTCATCTCCAAAGTCAACGCCGTCGAAAGCATCACCAGCATCACCGCCAAAGTAGTAAGCATAGGTCAGACGGTACTTGTCAGCCTCTGGTCCCACTCTAAACCTGGTGTAGTCTGCATACCTGGACAAAGGAAGTCACAAAGAGGAAAGGAGGATCTGTTAGTGTGTGGTGCCTCTGCTGAGTCTTCTTTTTCTTCTCCAAAAGAAACCTTGGGGTCATGTTTGGTTAGTCAGTGAGGCCCTTTGCTCTCTTCTTACATAATCTGTTATCGTGTGCGTGTGTGTGTGTGTGTACCTTTTGTTGCCTTCCCAGTCAACAAGTTCAATCCTCAGCACAGTTGGAAAGGTTGTACTGAGAGTTAGCAGGTGGATCTTCTCATTGCCGAGCCAGAACTCTGTAGTGTCATCTGGGGAGAGATAACCAAAGCCCTGCTTGTACTGGGTCCAGTCCTTATGGAAGTCCACACTTCCATCACGTCTCTGTGGACATAAAAAAAAGTGATGAGAGTGATCAAAACTTGTTAAGGCAGAAGAAGAATTACATTATTTTTTCTAGAGTTAGTCAACAAAACATTTCTCCTAATGTTATTCTAAAAAGATCAAACCACTAAGGGAATTTATAAACATTTTTAGTGAGAGAACATGGAACCTCCCATGTGGAAAATGAGGAGAGTTTTACATTTTCCTTTTTGCCAAAAAAGAAGGGTATTCTGAGTGTTTTAGGGGACAGCAGTTTTTTCTTTC